GATATAAGGATTTGCTAGAAAATAAAACCCCAAGGTGGCTGTCACCAATGGAAGCGAAAGCCTTGAAAAAGGCCAATATGGAGGTCAAATGGCCGAAATATTGGGAAATTTTGGAACAAGACGGAGATAGACTGAAATTGCAGAGTTTTGAAAAATTAAAAAACAAAGTGCGAGATTGGCTTCATTATTTTCAGATAATGGAGGCATTTAAATTGGACAAGAAAATTGGCTTCCAGGTGGAAAGATCAAAATTAGAAACAGAACTGTTAGAACCCAAAACTAAGAATTTGTCAAGAATGTATAACTTGCTACTGAAATGGAATACTCAGGATGAAACGGTAAAATCGGCTATGATTAAATGGGCACAGGACATTGGACATAACATTATGTTTGCTGACTGGGAACAGTTGTGGACCACAGGTATGAAATTTACGGCATGTAATGCCTTAAGAGAGAATATTATGAAAATGATATACAGGTGGTACATAACCCCAGTCAAGCTTGCGAAAATCTATCACTTGCCCGATAACAAATGTTGGAAATGTAAAGAAATTGAAGGTACATTTTTTTCACCTTTGGTGGACGTGCCCAAAGATTAAGGCTTTCTGGGAAATGATATATAATGAATTAAAAAAGGTATTCAAATATACCTTCTTGAAGAAACCAGAGGCCTTTCTCCTGGGCATAGTCAGCCAATCGGTGTTAAAAAAGGACAGAACTTTCTTTATGTATGCCACAACAGCAGCAAGAATACTCATCGCAAAGTATTGGAAGACACAAGAACTTCCCACGCTGGAGGAATGGCAGATGAAACTAATGGACTATATGGAACTGGCGGAAATGACTGGTAGAATCCGTGACCAGGGAGAAGAGTTGGTGGAGGAAGATTGGAAGAAATTCAAAGATTATCTTCAGAAACACTGCAAAACTAAAGAATGCTAGAGCGATGTTGGATTGAAAATAAGTGGTTTCCAGCTGTATTGGATAAAGTTATTGATAGATTAAGATTAAAGATTAGGATTAAAGATGTTTAAGGAAATGGAAATTTGGTACTTAAGAGGTAAAATTTTAATGCTATATTACATTAAGATTAAGGATTAGGATTAAAGAAGTTTAAGTGTTATATTATATTAAGATTAAAGATTGGGATTAAAAAAATGGAAAAGAAATTGCTGGACAAACAATTTGGACTGGAATACAAAAGTGGGAGGTATGAGGAAGTCTAGAAAATAAGTAAATTCAAAAACAGGAATGAAAAAAAGAATAGAACCAATTTTTCCATTTCTCTTAACCTTTTTGATCCTAATCCTTAATCTTGATATATTTATAGCTTTAAAACCTGTACAGCTAGAAGCCACTTAACTTCAATCCAACATCACTCTAACATTCATTAATTTTGCAATGTTTCTGCAAATAGTCTTTGAATTTCTTCCAATCTTCCTCCACCGACTCTTCTCCCTGGTCTCGGATTCTGCCAGTCATTTCCGCCAATTCCATGTAGTCAATCACCTTCATCTGCCATTCTTCCAGAGTGGGTAGATCTTGTGTCTTCCAATACTTTGCGATGAGTATTCTTGCTGCTGTTGTGGCATACATAAAGAAAGTTCTGTCCTTTTTTAACACCGATTGGCTGACTATGCCCAGGAGAAAGGCCTCTGGTTTCTTCAAGAAGGTATATTTAAATACCTTTTTTAATTCACCCGCATCCCTTGTTGTTGTTGTTACCCACTTTTTAATCTAAGGTCTCATGGTGGGCTACAACAATTGAAAATCCAGCATTAAAACTAGTTTAAAATTAATTCTGTGGGACCGTGAACCAGCCCAAGCCACAAAAACTTTACTGAGCCCTGCTCTAGCCCCTTCTGTCGTTCTGTCACCAAACTCATACCATTGTAATTTGTACACGGGGAATGTTTCCGTTGGAGTTGGAAAGCTGCCCTTGAATGATATGTTCTTCTCACTTGGCCAGGAAAGCATCTGAATTATGCTCCTCTGCCTCGGGATCCAGCTGCTCAGGTGGTTCGGTAGCTGAATAGGAGGCATGCTGAACAAGTGGCCGAAACGCATCCAGGTCATATGCTAAGGCAGATGCAACATCCATCAAAGCAAAAGACAGAGCCAGAAGATGCCTCTTTTATGAACAGCCAGCCAGGCATGATCAAGAAACCCAACAGAAGGGAAGAAATTAAACTCTCTCTCTTTTCATCCACACAGCCCTTTTCCTAGCTCCAGGATAGGGAATTAATTTACATCCTTGGAAGAACCATATTCTGAATATGATACTGATTTGGCAGATGAACCTTTCTGAGTATCTGAACATATGTCTACCAGCCTCACTGCACTCGCAGTTGAAGAGAGAAAACCCACAGCCCTTTCCCTTAAACTCACCAACATCTCTAATCTGCAGGATGCGAAAATGAGGTTCTTAAATTGCCCCAACGGGCACAAGGCTTTTGACCAGAAAGGGCTCGAGAGGCTAAAATTCATTAGAAAAGATTTGTTTTAAAGACATGAGCAGAAGGCCAGTGTGTGCGTTTCAGTTTAGGAAAGATTTGATATCAAGCAAATTCAATGGTGCATTATACGCGAATGAGTCTTGGAGAAGGGAGAAAAAATGAATAGAATCATAGAGTTGGAAGAGACCACAAGGGCCATCGAGTCCAACCCCCTGCCAAGCAGAAAACATAGGAGATGCAAATAATGATTACATGATGAGCTAAACAGAATAAGCATATGCAGCTTAACTTTTAAACCTTCTTCTACTCAGAATAACAATATGCAAGCTTAGAATGAACTACAACTTAACCCTTGCTGATTCCAGCTACTATCAATGGCTGCTAGTCATGTTAGCTGTGAGTGCACACTACTAGAATTCAAAGGTGGCCCAGATAAGGAACCCAGAAAAAAACCAAATAGAAAATTAGTCCAGGTAAAAGAAAAGGTGTTTAAAAATAAAATAGTGAAGTCTGAGGCTCACCAAGTAATAAAATAATCAGATCAGTACAAAAGGCATGAGGAAAGCTTACCCAATGTAAAATTATTAAAAGCAGCAGGAATTGAATCTAAAAACAAAGTTTTTTCTATCTGTGTCTGTGTTCCTCACAGAACTCTAGCCCAATAGTTGCCATTAATTTGATTTTGAATTGATTTTAGAAGGAGTTGATTTTAGAATGCATTTCAATTAATTGATTGGGATTTTATGTAAATTGTGTTACTTTTATTGTTGTTTGCCGCTCTGAGCCCGGCTTCGGCTGGGGAGGGCGGTATATAAATTTTAAAAAATAATAATTAATTAATTAAGTTGCAGTGCAGGATTCCATCCCCCACCTAGAATTCTGGGAGATGTAGTTTGTTAAAGATACTGAGAGTTACCCTCACAGAGCTACAAGGTCCAGAATCACCTGCAAAGTGGGATCAACTGTTGAATCAGTCCCTCCAAGTGTCCTTATTTTCCAGGGAGAGTCGTGAATTTACAGAAGCCATCCCAGTTTTGGATTTGATCCCGGAATGTCCCGCTTTTACTTAGGACATCCCTATTTTCATCAGAGAAATGTTGGAGGGTATGGAGTTATGCGACCCCTGAGCCAAGAGATAAGTAACTGTCCAACCTTTAGAAGACATATGGGAAGTTTTTGTAATGCTTAATATTTTATTATTTTTTATATATGTTGGAAGTTTTCCAGAGTAGTTGGAGCAACCCCGTCAGATGTACAAGGTATAAATATTATCATTATTATTATTATCCGGGAACTGTAACTCTGTTCCCTAAGAACTCTCAGAAGGGGTTCCCTAAGAACTCTCAGAAGGGACGTGGGTGGTGCTGTGGGTTAAACCACAGAGCCTAGGACTTGCCGATCAGAAGGTCAGCAGTTCGAATCCCTGCAACGGGGTGAGCTCCCATTCCTCGGTCCCTGCTCCTGCCCACCTAGCAGTTCGAAAGCATGTCAAAGTGCAAGTAGATAAATAGGTACCGCTCTGGCGGGAAGATAAACGGTGTTTCCATGCTCTGGTTCGCCAGAAGCGGCTTAGTCATGCTGGCCACATGACCTGGAAAGCTGTACGTCGGCTCCCTCGGCCAGTAAAGCGAGATGAGCGCCGCAACCCCAGAGTCGGCCACAACGGGACCTAAGAACCCTTTTTAAGAACTCTCAGCACTGTTAATGCTCCCAGAATCCTTTGTGGGAAGCCATGACTGTTTAAAGTGGTTTCATAGTGTTTTAGATGTACAGTGTGACTATGGCCTTAGAATCAATGCAATAGTGCTTTAAATATATGGTGCAAATGGGGCCTAAGAAAGTTTACAACCCCTTTTTCGGGTGGGTGTGCTCTGCAGAAGTTTACAACCCCTTTTTTAGGTGGGTGTGCTCTGCAGAATCATTGCACCAAACAAAGGATCACACAAATACTCCTCTTCTGAGGTGTTGATCAAGCAGAGGAAAGAAAGGAAAAAAGAAAGAAAGCAGGAATCCTTGGAAATGCTAACACACCTCTGACCTCTCTGTTAATCATCCAAATAATGGCTGCAAAGGTTATGAGAAAACAGCCCTTCGTGTTCCCATCCCTTTGCCCATTTAGCAAGCGAAGATCATAACCTTCAGAGCAGGCACGGCGTTTGGGTAATGAATTCCTGCTGACTGCTTCAGAGGGTGCTTTTGTTTTTGTGGGGTTTTAGCGGGAGGGGAAGGACTTATCTTAGAAAGTCTCTTTGCTATTGGTGTGTTCGCGGAGGAATCGTCCCTAAGTGTCCCGAATGTCAAGAAGCAATAAGCCTCATTGGCTTTTATGGCCTTCATCAGCACTCTCCTCAGTGCTCCATCTTCTTAAAGGCCATAGTCATGCCCATATTTCCAAATAGTGGAAGTTAACTCTGGCAATAAAGCGGACCAGGGTGCTTATGTGTGGCTCAATCACAACGGCCATTTCAATGGGCAGCAGGGCGTTGCCAGATACTTAAAAGGCTCCTGGCACAAATGAGCATGACATGAACGTAGATTTGCTTTGACAGTGTGGTTAAGTGGTTACAGCATCAGACTAGGAGCTGGGGAACCAGGGTTCAAATCCCTACACAGCCATAAAGCTTGGGCCAGTTCCTCTGTCTCAGCTTAGCCTATCTCCCAGGGTCACAGTGAGGATAAAATGAGGAGTGGGCAAAGTATGTGTGCCTGTCAGGGGGGCACTGTTATACAGTGGTTCCGCCCCTTCTTCCTGGGCAGTGTACAGTGTAGAGTGGGGAATGAGTGTTCAGACCCCTGGGCCGTCACTTGTAGGGTGCCTCAGGGTTCCGTCCTCTCCCCCATGCTTTTTTAATATCTATATGAAGCCACTGGGAGAGATCATCAGGGGGTTTGGGCTGGGTGTTCATCAGTATGCAGATGACACCCAGCTCTACCTCTCTTTTAAATCAGAACCAGTGAAGGCGGTGAAGGTCTTGTGTGAGTGCCTGGAGGCGGTTGGAGGATGGATGGTGGCTTTCAGACTGAGGTTGAATCCTGACAATACAGAAGTACTGTTTTGGGGGGACAGGGGGCGCGTGGGTGTGGGGGACTCCCTGGTCCTGAATGGGGTAACTGTGCCCCTGAAGGATCAGCTGCACAGCCTGGGAGTCATTTTGGACTCACAGCTGTCCCTGGAGGTGCAGGTCAATTCTGTGTCCAGGGTGACTGTCTACCAGCTCCATCTCGTACGCGGGATGAGACCCTACCTGCCCATGGACTGTCTTGCCAGAGTGGTGCATGCTCTAGTTATCTCCCGCTTGGACTTCTGCAATGAGCTCTACGTGGGGCTACCTTTGAAGGTGACCCGGAAACTGCAATTAATCAAAAATGCGGCAGCTAGACTGGTGACTGGGAGTGGCCGCCGGGAACACACAACACCGGTCCTGAGAGATCTTCATTGGCTCCCAGTACATCTCCAAGCACAATTCAAAGTGTTAGTGCTGACCTTTAAAGCCCTAAACAGCCTCAGTCCTGTATACCTGAAGGAGCGTCTCCACCCCCCATCGTTCAGCCCGGACACTGAGATCCAGCGCAAGGGCCTTCTGGCGGTTCCCTCATTGAGAGAAGTGAGGTTACAGGGAACCAGGCAGAGGGCCTTCTCGGTAGTGGCGCCCACCCTGTTGAACACCCTCCCATCAGACGTCAAGGAAATAAGCAGCTATCCTATCTTTAAAAGACATGTGAAGGCAGCCCTGTTTAGGGAAGTTCCAGTGGCTGGAAAAACTCAGCCAGATGGGCGGGGTATAAATAATAAATTGTTATTATTATTATTATTATTATTATTATTATTATTATTATTACTGGGCAGAGAAGGAATGGTGGAGACTGCCTCCCCAGCCTGACCCTTCAAGGAGAGGAAGGCAGTTCAGAATTACAACGGGTTTGAGGGAGGTTGCAGCTCAGATGCAGATGAGGGGGAAAGCTGGGAAATAATGGAAGAGGAGGAGGGGGAAGAAGAAGCCCCAGGGGAGCGACAGCTGATGGGCTCAGTGTCTTTAGAAAGCAACCCCAGAACCCGGCGAGCCTTGAAAATAGGAGAGCAAAGAACTCAAAAGCAGTCCTTCAAAGTTCTATAGTATTTTGAGGTTAAACCATCCGGCCCTGGAGATTTTCCCAACTGCATGTTCTGAATGGCACCTTCTACCTCCTGTTCCATAATTTTGTAATTCAGCATTATCTTATTTTCTTGAGAGATTTTTTGTAATCCATTTTTTTTCAGAAATTGGTCTATATCAAACTCTTTCTGGGGCCCTTGTGTATATAACTGTTTAAAATACCTCTGGAAACATTTTCTAATTTCCACTGGATTCTGGATGTTCTTTCCATCCACTTCCAAATTAGCAATGGTGTTAAGCTTTTGTCTTTTTTTCATCTGCCAAGCTAACAGTTTCCCACATTTATTAGCCAATTCAAAAGTTGACAGCTATGATTTTGAGAGGCTGCATTCTCTAGCCACTCACTGTGAATACAGTGGTACCTCGGGTTACAGACGCTTCAGGTTACAGACTCCACTAACCCAGAAATAGTACCTCAGATTAAGAACTTTGCTTCAGGATGAGAACACAAATCACACAGCAGTGGCGCGGCGGCAGCGGGAGGCCTCATTAGCTGAAGTGGTACCTTAGGTTAAGAACGGGTTTAAGTTTCAGGTTAAGAACGGGCCCCCAGAACGAATTCAGTTCTTAACCTGAGGTACCACTGTATTGAATAAAAGCAGATGGTAAGGACTTTTCCTTGTCTTCTCCGTTGCTGGCCAACCTGCTGTGGCGGTTGGTTCCTCTGCCTCCTGACACTGCCAACTTGAGCTCCTTAGAGGGAAAGTAGGATCAAAAAATGCAATAAATAAATGTACAGATATGTATAGACATATATATGCCCTTGAAAGGGCCTTTTCTGCAGTGGCTCCCCATCTGCGGAATGCTCTCTCCTGGATGGTTTCCTTGGCGCCTTCACAGTACACTTTTAGGTGCCATGCAAAAGTGTTCCTCTTTCACTACACCTCTGGTTGATTTGCTTGACAACCTATTCCCTTTAAAATTTGTTTTGGGGGTTACTGGGTTGTTGTTATTTTTATTTTTATTATGTACTTTGTGGTTTTATCCTGTTAACAGCCCTGTACCCTGTGGGTATAGGGTGGTATATGAATTCAATAAATAATAACAATAATAAATAAGATTGGTGGGTGGTTGTAGTCTCAATGTAGTAGAGATTTAATGGGGATGATGGATGCTCCCAGACCTGACATAAGGCAAAGTGAGTCAGTGTGTGCTGATTATAGGAGCAGTGACAACTTGGGATGTGGGAGAATTCCAATGGGAAAGTGAGCAGAAATTGCCAGCGTTTGCTTATTTCTCCTCTTCTTGTTGTTGTTGTTTAGTCGTTTAGTCCTGTCCGACTCTTCGTGACCCCATGGACCAGAGCACGCCAGGCACTTCTGTCTTTCACTGCCTCCCGCAGTTTGGTCAAACTCATGCTGGTAGCTTCGAGAACACTGTCCAACCATCTCGTCCTCTGTTGTCCCCTTCTCCTTGTGCCCTCCATCTTTCCCAACATCCGGGTCTTTTCCAGGGAGTCTTCTCTTCTCATGAGGTGGCCAAAGTATTGGAGTCTCAGCTTCACTATCTGTCCTTCCAGTAAGCACTCAGGGCTGATTTCCTTAAGCATCAATTCTTCGGTGATCAGCCTTCTTTATGGTCCAGCTTTCACTTCCATACATCACTACTGGGAAAACCATATTTTTTACTATACGGACCTTTGTTGGCAATATTTCTCCTCTTACGAGAACGGAAATCAGTCCAGCAAATATTTGATGGTTGCTGCTTCCAGTTTGCAAACCATACGTAACAGATTGCATTTCTCCTCTTTTGCACTGCTTTTTTCCTTGGCACTGAAATGAACGGGATGGAATAATTGCAATGGAAGTTGCGCAATTTCACCACAGTGAACAGTGGAGCGATTAACATAGTTTTCGGCAGAGGACCAAACTGCAGCAGAACGGAAACAATGGTGCGTGCAATTAATAAAGGGCGGGGTGCGCCATGTATGGTCTCCGACAAAGGCTTGCTACCTGAGATGGGGAACTCTCTCCTCCAAAGGAGGAAGCATGTGGCAACAAAGTACATCAGTCCACCAGGAGCGGGCGAATATTAGCACAGATAACAGCTCGACTCCTTTGTATTCAAAATCATTAATCACTTGGACATGATGAATCTAGCTAGCAGAAGGGAATAAATTCCAGATAATAAGTTCTAAAGTAATGAATAACTCTTGGCTGTGAAGGGGCTTAATGACTTTCCTTGTCAGAATTCAGATTTTATTATTAGCTCTGCGGAACAGGCAGCCGGCCTGAAGAGCTACACTTACAAATCAATTTCACTGCTCCTTCATAATGAGTCCCTAATTGACCCCAATTTCTGATAGAGTCGCATATTTCCTTCCATACTTTATTTTAATGACATGTATATTAGAGGATTTAGTGACTGGGCATAAAGGAATTTACTTTAACTCTGTGTTGCCGTTCGCCGACTTAAGGCGCAAGCATAAATTACGCTGAGTGCATTTGCTTTGATGGCTGGGAATGTATTTTTTATATCCCTTTGCAGATAAGATTTGTCTCATTTTGTTACATTAAGCGATTCATTCATCTATCTAATTCTGAAGAAGACAGGTTGGCAAGTAACAAAAAGCACTCTGCTTCCCAGTATAATCTTAATAGTTATGGGTGGTTAAATACTTTGCTTAACTTTCCCTGCATCTCCAACTGAAGTAGCATTCAAAGCGACTGTCAAATCCCGTACAAAAGGAATGCAAGGAGCTCATTACAAGGCCAGATTTATTTCTCTACTATTGTCTATTCCAGGGATGAAGCCTCTTGGGCCTGGGGGACAAATTGCAGGGGGGTGGACTAGATGAAGCTCAGGGTCCCATCCAACTCATCAGTTCTGTGATTCCATACCCTCCAAGATTTCCTTGATGTAAATTTCCTCGATGTCCTATTGCATAGCAACAGTTGTTGTTGTTGTTTTATTTAGGCCCTGCCCATCTGTCTGGGTTGCCCCAGCCACTCTGGGCGGCTTCCAACATACCTAAAAACACAACAAAACATTAAACATTTTTTAAAAACTTCCCTATATAATGGTACCTTGGTTCTTGAACTTAATCCATTCTGGGAGTCCGTTCAACTCCCGAAACCACTCAAAAAGTAAGGCACGGCTTCCGACTGGTTGCAGGAGCTTCCTGCAGTTAAGTGGAAGCCGTGTTGGACGTTTGGCTTCTGAAAAACGTTCGCAAACCGGGACACTTACTTCCGGGTTTGCGGAGTTTGGGAGCCAAAACATACAAGTACCAAGGCGTTCGAGAACCAAGGTACGACTGTACAGGGCTGCCTTCAGATGTCTTCTAAAGGTTGTATAGTTACTTATCTCCTTGGTTCAATGAATTTTTCTCACTGAATTTTTTCACTGGTTTTGCTCACTTCTGGCCTTGGACCAGTTACCAACCCTCAGCCCAGCCTACCTCACATGGCTGTTGTGAAGATAGAGAAGGCGTTAAAAATGGCTTCAGCGGGAGGGACTTATTGCTTGCATTATAGATATCGAATTTTGGTTCCTTTAATCAGAGTGCTACATCTTTGTACCATAAAGGGCCATGCTTTTCTGTCCACCCCATGCAAATTAGTACAGTTCTAAGGTTTCAACCAATCTTAATCAGGTCTGGTTCCTGGATGGTTTAGGTGCATAAGTGCCATTTGTATCCAGTTGAGTTTATTCAAAGGTGAGTGTGCACAGGGGATTGGTTCTTCAGGAAGAAATCCTATAGTGTTTGTTGTTGCTGTTGTTTAGTCATTTAGTCGTGTCCGACTCTTCGTGACCCCATGGACCAGAGTACGCCAGGCACTCCTATCTTCCACTGCCTCCTGCAGTTTTGTCAAACTCATGCTGGTAGCTTCAAGAACACTGTCCAACCATCTCGTCCTCTGTCGTCCCCTTCTCCTTGTGCCCTCCATCTTTCCCAGCATCAGGGTCTTTTCCAGGGAGTCTTCTCTTCTCATGAGGTGGCCAAAGTCTTGGAGCCTCAGCTTCAGGATCTGTCCTTCCAGTGAGCACTCAGGGCTGATTTCCTTCCGAATGGATAGGTTTGATCTTCTTGCAGTCCATGGGACTCTCAAGTCTCCTCCAGCACCATAATTCAAAAGCATCAATTCTTCGGCGATCAGCCTTCTTTATGGTCCAGCTCTCACTTCCATACATCACTACTCGGAAAACCATAGCTTTAACTATACGGACCTTGTGTTTGCATTACAAAACCCTTTTTTGCCAGCTTAACTTGTTGGGTTACCAGGTCACATGACCAAGCTGAATGGGTTCAGGATCCAGATTCTTAGGTCATAGAATCCAAGCATGCAAAAGGAAGGGAGATAGTAGTAATGGGGGACTTCAATTACCCGGATATTTGTTGGATGTCAAACTCAGCCAAGAGCATAAGGTCAAACAGATTCCTCACTGGCCTTGCAGACAACTTCATTGTCCAGAAAGTGGGAGAAGCAACAAGAGGAACAGCCATTTTAGATCTGGTCCTAACCAATGTTGATGACCTGGTTAGTGGGGTAGAAGTGGAAGGATCATTAGGCGCGAGTGATCATGCTCTTCTGAAGTTTACTATACAGCAGAAAGGAGCAGCCAAGCATACTAGGACTCAATTTCTTGACTTTAAGAAAGCTGACTTCATAAAACTTAGGGAAGTGCTGGGTGAGATCCCATGGACAGTAATACTAAAAGGAAAGGGAGTTCATGATGGCTGGGAGTTTGTTAAGAGGGAGATAGTAAAAGCACAACGTCAGGCAATACCAATGAGACAGAAACATGGAAGGTGCCTAAAGAAGCCAGGGTGGCTATCTAAAGAACTTTTAACTGAGTTAAGATTAAAAAAGGATATGTACAACAAAGGGAACAGGGGGGAAACCACCAAAGAGGAATTCAAACAAATAGCCAGCACGTGTAGACACAAAGTCAGAAAAGCTAAAGCACAGAATGAACTCAGGCTTGCTAGAGAGGTTAAAAGCAACAAAAAAGGCTTTTATGGGTATGTCCGTAGCAAAAGGAAGAACAAAGAAACAGTGGGGTCACTCAGAGGAGAAGATGGTGAAATGCAAACAGGGGACACAGAAAGAGCTGAACTCCTCAATGCCTTCTTTGCCTCAGTCTTCTCCGATAAAGAAAACAATGCCCGGCCTGAAGAATTTGGAGCAAATGATTCAGCAAAGGAAACACAGCCCAGAATAACTAAGGAGATAGTACAAGAATACTTGGCTAGTTTAGATGTATTCAAGTCTCCAGGGCCAGACGAACTGCATCCAAGAGTATTAAAAGAACTGGCAGATGTGATCTCAGAACCACTGGCAGTCATCTTTGAGAATTCCTGGAGAACAGGCGAAGTCCCGGCAGACTGGAGGAGGGCAAATGTTGTCCCTATTTTCAAAAAGGGGAAAAGAGAGGACCCAAATTATTACCGCCCAGTCAGTCTGACATCAATACCAGGGAAGATTCTGGAGCAGATCATTAAGCAAACAGTCTGTGAGCACCTAGAAAGGAATGCTGTGATCACCAATAGTCAGCATGGATTTCTGAAAAATAAGTCATGTCAGACTAACCTGATCTCGTTTTTGACAGAATTACAAGCCTGGTAGATGAAGGGAACGCAGTGGATGTAGCCTACCTTGATTTCAGCAAGGCATTTGACAAGGTGCCTCATGATATTCTTGTAAAGAAGCTGGTAAAATGTGGTCTTGACTATGCTACCACTCAGTGGATTTGTAACTGGCTGACTGACCGAACCCAAAGGGTGCTCATCAATGGTTCCTCTTCATCCTGGAGAAGAGTGACTAGTGGGGTGCCACAGGGTTCTGTCTTGGGCCCGGTCTTATTCAACATCTTTATCAACGACTTGGATGATGGACTCAAGGGCATCCTGATCAAATTTGCAGATGACACCAAATTGGGAGGGGTGGCTAACACCCCAGAGGACAGGATCACACTTCAAAACGACCTTGACAGATTAGAGAACTGGGCCAAAACAAACAAGATGAATTTTAACAGGGAGAAATGTAAAGTATTGCACTTGGGCAAAAAAATGAGAGGCACAAATACAAGATGGGGGACACCTGGCTTGAGAGCAGTACATGTGAAAAGGATCTAGGAGTCTTGGTTGACCACAAACTTGACATGAGCCAACAGTGTGATGCGGCAGCTAAAAAGCCAATGCAATTCTGGGCTGCATCAATAGGAGTATAGCATCTAGATCAAGGGAAGTAATAGTGCCACTGTATTCTGCTCTGGTCAGACCTCACCTGGAGTACTGTGTCCAGTTCTGGGCACCACAGTTCAAGAAGGACATTGACAAACTGGAACGTGTCCAGAGGAGGGCAACCAAAATGGTCAAAGGCCTGGAAACGATGCCTTATGAGGAACGGCTAAGAGAGCTGGGCATGTTTAGCCTGGAGAAGAGGAGGTTAAGGGGTGATATGATAGCCATGTTCAAATATGTAAAGGATGTCACATAGAGGAGGGAGAAAGGTTGTTTTCTGCTGCTCCGGAGAAGCGGACACGGAGCAATGGATCCAAACTACAAGAAAGAAGATTCCACCTAAACATTAGGAAGAACTTCCTGCCAGTAAGAGCTGTTTGACAGTGGAATTTGCTGCCAAGGAGTGTGGTGGAGTCTCCTTCTTTGGAGGTCTTTAAGCAGAGGCTTGACAACCATATGTCAGGAGTGCTCTGATGGTGTTTCCTGCTTGGCAGGGGGTTGGACTCGATGGCCCTTGTGGTCTCTTCCAACTCTATGATTCTATGATTCTATGATTCTATGATTCTATGATTCTATGAATCATAGAACTGTAGAGCTGGAAAGGAGGGTCATCTAGTTCAACCCCCTGCAATGCAGGAATATTTTGCCCAACTTGAACCCATGATCCTGAGATTAAGAGTCTCATGCTCTACCAACTGAGCTATGTTGAACCGGTCACACCCCTCATACTTCCCTGTAATTCTCCTTTTCATGGCTTACTCTGATCCTCCCATCCCAGTTCAGCAGGGTTGGGAAAAATACGCTGAGCTTTCCCCAGGGCAGTTAAAGGTATTTCAGGTCTTAAAGTGTTTCCCCACCCTAGAGATGGAGAAGGATTTATTTCAGACCTCATTTTAAGCGAACCAACCTAATTCACACCTTCCAGTATAATGCATAATTAGAAGGTAATTATTCTTTGAATTTTGTGCTTTGCAGAATGGTGTGAGACAGTTCTTGACTTTAAGTGGGGGGAAAGTACTGGTATGTGTAAACATACATATTTCGGGATAAAGCATGCTCAGAAATGCGTACATCGAGATGAAGTGGATATTTAAATGTTAATCTTCATACATTTTTTCCCCCTTTTAAGATCACAAAATAAAGAGGAAAGAGGATGGACTGCATTTATGAATGAAGGCATGTGAGCTTGACCCAGGCCCAGAATGGAGTGACCAGGGTTGCAATCATTTTTATTAGTTTCAAAGGCTGGTTATTGCTCACTTCTGACACCCGCAACATAATCTCAATCTTCCCCACGCATCTAAATCTATTTTATAATTGTGTATATTCTGAACTTCCAACCTTGCAGATGTTGTTGGACAACGATTCCCACTATTCCTGACCACTGAGCATGCTTTTTAGGGCTGGTGGAGTCCAAAATATACATTGGGAAGAGGGGCCACATCAGAAAAGGCCGCTTCAAGTCCTCAACACCACGAGCCTGTTGTTGTTGTTGTTGCTGCTGCTGTGCTTGTTGTTTTCCTTCGAATAGCATTTTCCACTTGGGGGCTACATCCCCATGTCAGCTTATTCCATTTCCCCAATTTCCCCCTAACTGACAGGTTTAGCATTCTATCCGAGTTTTTGCAAAACATAAAAAAGCCAGTGCCAGAAAAATAAAGGAATACAGTGCAAGTTTAGCACTCATTTCTGTGTTATTAGATTCCAGGAGAAAAAATCTGTTTGCAGCCTCCTTTAAGGGGGAAAATGGCAGGAGTAAAGTGAGACAACATTTGGGGGAAGAATACCAGTGTATAGGTCTTTCCTGCTGTTTTCATGGGGGAAGAAGAGAGCACATGTTTAGGGGTTGTTATGTACTGAGTTGAATAGGATTCAGAATGCAGCAGTCGGATTGGTCCTTGAACAATAGGATTCAGAATACAGCAGTCTGATTGGTCTTAGAACAATAGGATTCAGAATACAGCAGTTTGACTGGTCCACAGGAGCCACCCAATCCAGCTCCAGGTGGAAGTGAATCCGCAACCTGATTGGCCTACAGGAGAATCCCGGAATTAGCCAATCATGTGGGGCCCATTGTGTAAATAATGTATATAAAGCAGACATTCTGGGGGAACTTCCATTCCTCCTCACCACTATGAGCTGAATAAGGAGCATGAAATCCACTCTCGACTCCAAGTATATTTCAGGGGTGTAGTGATTTTGCCCAGTGGTGTTTATTGTTCTGCCACACCATACCCTGTGATGTGAATGGAATTTAGCGCAACATGCAGATGTGTGGGTCAAAAACCCACAGTTGCCTCTTTAAAAAAGGGCATTTATAGCTCACCTCTTTCTCCAAAGAGCTCAAAGTGGCCCACAACCATGTACAGATTCACGTTACACAAAAGGAGATTCCAACTAAATACCAGGAAGAACTGGAAGCAGTGGAATGGACTCCCTCAAAAGCTGATGGACTCTCCTTCTTCGGAGGCTTTTAAGCAGAGCTTGGATGGCCACCTGTCATGGATGCTTCATCTGAAATTCCTGCATTGCAAGGGGTTGGACTAGATGACCCTCAAGGTCCCTTCCAACTCTACAGTTCTAGGATTCCATGGCTAAGCAGGGATTTGAACTCTGGTCTCCCAGAATGTCTGACATTCTAACCACTACACCACACTGCCCCCCTAACACAACAGAGTAAAAGGAGTATTAGAAAACAGGACAGGAGAGCTAGCTTCATAGTCAGGAAAACCAATGCAATATTCTGCATGTCTGAATGCACCCCTAGTCTTTCAGCTAGTTGATCAGGTAATAACTGAGGGACAGCAGGTGCTTGTATAGTTTTCTGTTGTGGATGAGGTTCACTGCCCCCCAATTTTCTCCATAAGTTGTCAAGACCCATTTTATGGTCTTATTTATCAATCCAATCCCATTTATCTTTTCCTAAGAGCAAACATCACCTTGCCAACAAAGGTCCGTATAGTTAAAGCTCTGGTTTTCCCAGTAGTGATGTATGGAAGTGAGAGCTGGACCATAAAGGAGGCTGATCGCCGAAGAATGCTTTTGAATTCTGGTGCTGGAGGAGACTCCATTCTGAGGGAAATCAGCCCTGAGTGCTCACTGGAAGGACAGACCCTGAAGCTGAGGCTCCAATACTTTGGCCACCTCATGAGAAGAGAAGACTCCCTGGAAAAGACCCTGATGTTGGGAAAGATGGAGGGCACAAGGAGAAGGGGACAACAGAGGACAAGATGGCTGGATAGTGTTCTCGAAGCTACCAGCATGACTTTGACCAAACTGCGGGAGGCAGTGGAAGACAGGAGTACCTGGCATGCTCTGGTCCATGGGGTCACGAAGAGTCGGACACGACTAAACAACTAAACAACAACAATGATCATGAAAGGGGGAGTGGGAAAGAGAGCTGCATTTATAACAGATCTAACTTGGTCCCCAATAATGAGTCAAATCAGAAAGATACAGAGCGGCTCTGAAACGGATTGGCCTGCTTCCCAAAGCTACAGATGCAAATGGAATTCAAATCTTGCAGACAGTGCACACCCAAAGAACCCTGCACACACAATGTGTGTGAATCTGAGAGACAGAAATAGATTTTAAACACCATTGCTAACTCTCTGGTGGTCAGCTGTTTGGCAGTGGAACGGACAACCTGGGAAGGCTCTGGACTTCACTGGAGGTTTTTTACCAGAGTTTGAACGGCCATCTGTCCAGGGTTCCTGGAAAGACAGGCAGACTAATGCCAGTGTACTGGAAGAAGCAAAGATCACCAGTGTCAAAGCAATGATTCTTCAACATCAACTTCGTTGAACTGGTCATGTTGTGCGGATGCCTGATTATCCTCTTCCAAAGCAACTACCCTATTCCGAACTCAACAATGGTAAGCGTAATGCTGGTGGTCAACAAAAGAGGTTTAAAGACTCTCTCAAGGCAAAGCTTTAAAATATGGAGTATAAACACCAACAAGTGGGAAATACTGGCGTGTGAGCGAATAATATTTTTTACCAGAAGCTATCTGGTCTACCATGCAGACAATAATAGGTGTTCTGCCCTGCCAGGATCAAATATAATAGTTGTTTGGGACCAGTTATGGACTTTGTATAGCATTGTTGAAATGAATGGCCAAGACCCCCTCACATTCAAGGATCAAAAAGCATAGGGACTATTGGATGGATTTTTAGAGGTGGGGTGGCCTCCCTCATGGGGGATTTTGGAAGTGATGTTCCCACTGACTTCCACCATTCCCCAGCACGTACGCTCGCAAGGCAAATCTTTTAAAAATGTAGTATAAACACTGACAACTGGGAAACACTGGCTTGCGAGTGCACCAGTTGGAGAACAGCCTTTACCAAAGGTGTTGTGGACTTTGAAGGCACTCAAACTCAGGACGAAAGGGGGAAACCCTCACCGTGGCAAACCCTCACAGTGATGAACTCCACCACCCGCCGCCCCCCGGAAACCTATGTCCCCACTGTGGAAGGACGTGTAGATCCAGAACTGACTTCCACAGTCACTTACTGACTCACTTTTAAAACTTTGTTTATGGACACTGGCAGAGGAAGAGGAGTGCGGGGGGAGCGCACCGCCCCCAGCAGCGTGATCCCAGTGGGGTGCCACCGCGGCTTCCCCCCATCACCAGTGCTGGGCGCCACGCCCCCAGGCAGCATACCACACCCCCAGGATGTGCACCAGCCCCGCCCCCACCTGCCCTCCGCCCCCCCCCCCCCAGTGCCAGAGTATGAAGCTCTGCCACTGTTTATGGAACACAATCGTACGTTTCCGAGCACATTTCAAAGTGTTGGTGCTGACCTTTAATAAACAGCCTCAGTCCTGTATAGCTAAAGGAGTGTCTCCACCTCCATCATTCAGCCCGGACACTGAGATTCAGCTCTGAGGGCCTTCTGGCAGTTCCCTCATTGTGAGAAGCGAGGTTACAGGGAACCAGGCAGAGGGCCTTCTCGGTAGTGGCGCCTGCCCTGTGGAACGCCCTCCCAGCAGATGTCAAGGAAATAAGCAGCTATCTTATTTTTAAAAGACATCTGAAGGCAGCCCTGTTTAGGGAAGTTTGTAATATTTAATGCTGTATTGTTTTTAACACTCGATTGAGAGCCACCCAGAGTGGCTAGGGAAACTCGGTCAGATGGGCAGGGTATAAATATTATTATTATTATTATTATTATTATTATTATTATTATTATTCGGCTATGAGTGATTGTCAAAGAAGAAGAGGAGGAGGAGCTGTGATTCCTTCATTGCAGGGGGGTGGACCAGATGGCCCTAAGGGTCACTACCAACCCTACAATTTTATGATTCTATGAGTCTAAGGGAATTCAACCCGCAGTGCAATGGTGAGCTAGGGGATAGTGCATTGGAAGCCCACTATTTCTAAAGTTTATTGTTAAAATACTCAAGGCATTTCAAATGTTCAGTTTTGAAAAGGTCATAGAAAAAGTGAAGAGAGTTGAACGCAGGCTCTGGGCAAGTATTCGGGTGCCATTTTCATGCATAGCCAATTTAGGCATCCCTATAAATATTGAACTGTCCAGATCCCAAATGTTCCAGTTCTTTTCTCAGGCTGCCTTTCTATCAAATCTATCCAGATTTCTACCCAGAATCCCTGCTGGTTCTTATCCACCCAGATTTCAGCTGAAGCCTATTATTCAGTTCAGTGAAGCTTTCAATATGCAGAGCTAGGCTTTGCTGGGAGTGAAAACCTTGATTTGTTCATTGCGTTTTCAAAATATTTAGCACACTCAAATCCAAGGCATATTAGTGCTGTTTTGCTATGCCACAGAAACCCTTGTGACTGCCCTAATTTGACTATAGGTGTAAGAACCACTCATTAAACCATAATGCCAGGGCCAAAAGCTAGCACAAAGTTTCATTATGCAAACATGAAATTGACTAGGAGGGCTAATGAGGGTAGCAAGATACCCCAGGTGTCAATAGAAAACAATCTATTTCTAACATAGCTCCTCTTCGGGGACGTTTCTCCATCTACCATAAAGATTTTGTTTACCGATTTCCTGTTGCTTGTTAAGCAGAACCGCCATGGAGGCACAGGGGGGAAAAAATGGAAGTAATAAAAATCGGGAGAATAATTTATTCCTTTATTTTATTATGTAGCAACCATTTCTAAAAGCCCCCTGAAATTCCACCGTCCATTTCCATTTCCCATATTTGTTTCAAGATTCAAAATGTCGCCCAGGTGCTTTCTATTTAATAAAATACTCTGGCTGTTGTTCACAGTCAACTTGCCCAGGTCAGGCCAGGACCACGGGCAGTTGTAATTAAATCTGAACTAAGTTGCTTGAACTGAAACTGGAAATTGGAGCTGGAAGCTGCAGGCAGAAGACATGGCTCAATTGTCCGAACAAGGAGAGAAAGTCTGCTTCCTAGTCATTGGCCTGTCCAATCCAGGGGATCCACACTTCCTGCCAGTCACAGTAGCTGCACATCTTGTTTTCTCTGCCTCAGTGAAGAGAGCTTTGAGGCTTGACCTCACAGTCCAGGGAAGCTCACTAGGCTGTGTACCTGCACCAAACCTTGTACTTCCCAAAACAACCACCTTTTTAAAAGGCAGGGAAGGACGTTCAGATGACCTAGAAAACTAAGGAAGGGGCCCCCCAAAAGCAAGAGGCTTTTCTACTTGGCTTGATGGGAAAGGAGATTAAGATCAAAGATTATTTATGTATGCCACAGCTGCTGCAAGGACTTTGTTGGCCCAACATTGGAAATCAAAATAAGTTCCTAACATGGCAGAGTGGCAGACGAAAATGACAGACTATGCGGAGTTAGCCAAACTGACCGGAAGGATTCGGGATCAGGACGATCAGAGATTCCAAGAAAATTGAAGTAAATTTATTGCATATCTAAAGGACAGCTGTACAAACTTAAAGACACTAGCAGGATTGAAATAACTCCCACAATGTAGATGATAAAAGGTAAAGGGACCCCTGACCATTAGGTTCAGTCATGACTGACTCTGGGGTTGCGGTGCTCATCTCGCTTTACTAGCCGAGGGAGCCGGCGTACAGCTTCCAGGCCATGTGGCCAGCATCACTAAGCTGCTTCTGGCGAACCAGAGCAGTGCACGGAAACGCCGTTTACCTTCCTGTCGGAGTGGTACCTATTTATCTACTTGCACTTTGACTTGCTTTCGAACTGCTAGGTTGGCAGGAGCAGGGACCGAGCAACGGGAGCTCACCCCGTCGCAGGGATTCGAACCGCCAACCTTCTGATTGGCAAGTCCTAGGCCCTATGGTTTAACCCACAGCGCCACCCGCGTCCCCTAATGTAGATGATAGAAGATGTGAAAAGATAAAATACGCAAATGGATTTGATAAGAGATACCAATTGAAGGGAGGAAGTCACAAGCTCGGCAGGGCTAAAATGTTTATATGTTGATTAATGCATTGTAAGAAAGAATGTGTAAAGAAAACAATAAAAACTTATTGGGGGGGGGAGAAAACTAAGGAAGGGCAGGTCCATATCATATATATATCATACACACACCCCCAACATTCCTCAGCTGAAAATAGGGACATTTCTCACTCTCTTGCAACTGACCCTCCTCAACCCAGGGCTGGAGGGAGGGGGCGCGGTAGGGGCAGGCCACCCCGGGTGTCACCACTGAGGGGGGGTTGACAAAATGCCAGGCGGCACT